AGAGGAAAGCTGCTTAAAAAAAAAAAAAAAGAAATAGTACAAGAGGGGACCAGCAGTTAGCGTAATGGCTATGTCGCTGAACTCCCATGTAGCCGACCATGGTTCAAGTCCCAGACCTGGTGGTTTAAACTCACAACAGGCATGTGTGCGTGCATGCCCAAGATCCCGAGAAGAATGGAAGAGAAGGGACTGTGGCATGGCCATCCCCCCGGGGGGTGATTTCTCACTTTCTCTCTCTCTCTGTCACTCTCTCACTTTCTGGTGAGTGTATGCGCCCTATAGCAAAAACCTCTCCCCCCCCTCAAAAAAAAAATAAAAGAAAAGAAATAGTACAAGGGTATCTTGCAATGCCAGAAAGCAAGGTGTTACCAAAAATTAACAAGGTTGGGTCAAAGAGACATAGCTGTTCTAGATTACAAGATACTTAAGAGCAACAACTACCCAATACAATCCTAGATCAGAGAGAGTTGCATAAACTAGCTATAAAGGATACTTTTGGGTTAATTCAGGAAATTTAAATACAGTGTATCAGATAAAACTTACTGAATTGGAAAGATGGAGGTGAATTAATGAAAAAAGCAGATTACAAAAGAGAAGGCGCGGTATAAACTCATTTTTTGTAAAGGCAAAGAAGAATATCTAGAACGTTATGTACTAAACTATTACAGTTACTCTCAGGCTAGTGAGAATGTGTTTTTGTTTTTTATTTTTGTTTATCTGTATTCTCTCTTTACAAGGCACATATGCTACTTCTATAATAGTATTTTTTTTAAAAAATAACAGCATGGCAGTTATTGATCTAAATAACGTAACTTGTTGAATGATGCATATAAAAATTTTTAATGACGGGGCTGACAGGTAGAATGGTGGTTAAGGGCACTGGACTCCCACATGGGCAACCATGGTTCAAGTCCTATAATTCGTGGTTTGCTTTCTCACTTTCCCCCCCTCTCTCTCACTCTGTCCCCCTCTGGTCAAATAAAAGTTAATAAAAAAATTATTAAAAATAAAAATTAATGTTAATGATGACAAAATAATATACAGTTCACAGGATAAATAGCATATATAAGGGAAAGGTCTTCAAAAAGTTAATGAGGGAACCAGCAGTTAGTGTAATGGCTATGTCGCTGGACTCCCATGTAGTCGACCGCGGTTCGCGTCCCGGACCCGGTGGCTTAAAACTCACGCCGGGTGCGTGTGTGTGCGTGCCCAAGATCCCGAGAGGAGAATGGAGGAGAAGGGATTGCGGCGTGACCATCCCCCCTGGGGGGTGATTTCTCGCTTTCTGTCTCTAATGTCTCTCTCTGTCTGTCTGGCGAGCGCACACGCCCTATAGTGAAAATCTCTCAAAAAAATAAAAAAATAAAAAAATAAAATAAAAATAAAAATAAAAATAAAAATAAAAAGTTAATGAAAAACATGTATCATGAGAAAACTGTATGGATTTCAAATTTTGCACTAAAATAAACTTGTGTTTTAATTCCACTTCTTCACAAACTTTTTGAGACCCCTTGTATACCATGTTATATATGAGTGATACAAAAACAAGCATTGAAAATTGGTAATGTAAAAGAAAGACTGGAATCATACCAAAGGAAGGGAAATGAAATTGTGGGTAGTGATCAAAATATTTTTAGCTTTACTGATAATGCTTTGATTTTTACAATGTGCCTATATTAGTGAATTCTTGTATAATAAAAAAAGGCAAGAACAACTAGGGGTCAGTACTATAGCCTAATGGTTAAGAGAGCTTGATTCCCTAATAGAGATTTGAATCCAGACCCTGGTGCCTTAAAAAACACACTAGGCACATATGCATTTGGGTGCATGTCCAAAATTCCAACAGAATGGAGAAAAGAAGAGAAGAGATTGTGGCATGACCACATCTCATTTGAGGGTGCTTTCCCTTCACCTCTCTCCCCATTTCTGTCTTTGGCAAGTACACATGATAGCTGGCAATCAAAAAAGAAGAAGAAAAAAAAAAAACTAAGGAACTCAGATATGGTGGCACACGCACAGCATCACCACTTGAAAGGCTAAAGCCACATGGGAGACCCAGGTTCAGTTCTTGGGCCAACCTGAACATGCTAGCACAGCTATGTGCACCTATAATATTAACTAATTGGGAGGCTAGGGCAGGAAAATCACAACATGGTCAGACCTTGTCAAACACACCTGTTCCTATCTCTTACCCCTTTCCCCTCCTCCTCTAACCTCCCTCACTTTCCTTCACTCTTTCTTTCCCTCTATTTTTTAAGAGAGAGATTGTTGCTGTAGGGCACGTACACTTGCTAGAGATAGAGAGACAGAAAGTAAGCAATCTTCCCCCCTGGGGAGATGGCCATGCCACAATCCCTTCTCCTCTGTTCTCCTCTTGGGATCCTGGGCACACACGCACACGCACCTGGCATGAGTTTTAAGCTACCGGGTCCAGGACTCAAACTGCAGTTGACTATGTGGAGACCAGTGACATAACCATTACACCACCTGCTGGTCCCCCACATGTTCCCAGAGTTCGTGTGCTGATAATCATAAAGTAAATAAAAGCCATCTTGCTTTTAGTCATTACCAGATAGTTTAGCCTTATCTAAACAAATAATTAAATGACCCCACAATCCTAAAATATATCACTAGAGCAGAAGTTACAAAGTCATAAATACTATTTTAAAGAATATTTTACTAATAAAGTATCTGAGAGAAGTTTATTTTTTGTATTTTAATTTTTATAGACATTTTTGCTATAGGGTGCGTGCGCTCACTGGAGAGAAAAAGAGAGAGAGACTAAAAACAAGAAATCACTCCCCCTGCGGGGACAGCCATGCTACAACCCCTTCTTCTCCATTCTCCTCTCAGGATTTTGGGCATGTACACACTTGCATCTGATGTGAGTTTCAAGCCTCCAGGCCTGGGATTCAAATCATGGTCAACCATGTGGGAGTCCAGTGCCTTAGCCACTATGTCACCTGTTGGCCCCCTGAGAGAAGTTTCTAAGACAAACTCCATCTACCTTTAATAATCAGTATAAATTTGGTGAGATAACAGGTAGGGTTTACAAAGTTGAGATAACTAAGATAAAGTTCTCTGTAACCCTTCATACTCTAATAAATAGAAGCAACAGAGGTCTAGTTGACTAATGCCATGAGGTGGAGAACTACCATTCACATGAGAGCCAATAAATTGTGCTTGTTTCTTTGCTACTCAGGTTCAGAAATGGACTGATTTTCCTTTTTATTTTTTTTTTAAATTGCCAGAGGGTACACGCACTCACCAGAGACACAGAAAGAGAAGAAAACACCCCACAATGGGGCATGGTCACACTCTAGTCCTCTTTCTCCTCTATTTCTCCATCCTGGTAGATATAGGGGTATGCATGCACATGAATCAAACCACAGATGGGAGTGTGGGATTGGGTTTCCCCAACCACTAGGCTATGGGGTGCCTTGACTGATTTTCAATTTACAACTCAAAATGAATTCATCTTTAAGGGTCTCAGTATACTCATATCTACCAAAATTAACCTCAAAACTCTCTCTTCTGTTGATTAGAATTGGTTATCACCAAAATTCAATACCCAAGTACTTGAAAGTTGAGAACAGATTTAACTGCATCTCTCTTTCTCTACAGTTTAGAGTCCAAAAATGGTGCTAGTCTTTTCAAATGGCAATGTAACAATTATCTTAAAGTCATTTTCTCTTATATCTGAGGATGGACTTGAGAACTAAAAAGACAAAATACCAACCTTGAGGTCTTTCGGGTTTCGAGGTAAAGACTTCTGCTGTTTCTTGATTTCTGTAGAGTTGAACTTGATGCTGGAGTGGAATTTCTCCACTGGCCATTGGCACTCTGGCCGAAGGGTCTTAAGTCGCCAGAGCCAAGAAAACTGTCTGAGGAAGGGTTATCTAAAAAAATAAAAGTTTGTATAAATGAAACAAATAACTACAGCTGGTTCTCCTTATGACTGCAACCATGTCCAACATTGTATTCCAAAGTAATGTGGCATATCACCATGTCTCTCATGGAAGAAAATCCCCGTCTCAACTGTCAGTAAAGTCTGCAGTAAGAGAACTTCTACAAACTATAATTGATTCAGCCATACTAACCTGAAAAATGATGAAGGAGCTGAATCCTGCCACAGCCATGTGCCTTATCTGCATCAATGTGACTCCGTGGTGTCCACCAAAAGTCAACATTTTACCCCAACTATATCTTGCAAGCACTCCCAGGCCTGGGCCTGAAAGAAGGTAGGCCAGACCAGTAAGAAAGCAGGTGGAGGGCCAAGGAGAATTGTAATCAAATGAACAACAGTTATTGTTTAATAAGCAGCTGGTGTCATTTTCTAATTTTTAGTTACCATGTTCAAGACTCAGGGACTCTCTCAAAGAGCAGAGAAAACCCAACTGCTGCTTATTTTGGCTGGCTTATGGCAGGAATGACCCATCATATGCGTCTGGTTTTGGTATGACAATCTTCAGTCACATACTACTATAATCATCACACATGTCAGTACTCTCATGCTTGCTACTAGAATCGGACTAACAGGATTATTTATCATTTGAATTATCTGCCTGTGGATTACAAGCTGGGATGTCAAAAGCCTCTTGAAGTTTCTGCTAAAAGTGGAAGCAGAATTGGATAATTTAAAATAGCTCCTTCAAAATAACTTCAGACATTAGGCTATGAAACTCTGTTTTTCTATCGCAAAGTAGTATTCCCTATTTCCTGAATTTTTGTCTAATGCTGACATCATTTGAGGATCTTCTTTCAAAATAGCTTAATATTACATATTTATGCTATTTAAAACATTTAACATGGGGCCAGCAGGTGGTGGGGTGGTCAAGGCACTGGACTCCCACATGGCTACTGCAGTTCGAGTCCCAGACCTGGCAGCTTGAAAATCAAGCCAGCCACGTGTGTGCCCACAAACCCCAAGAAAATGCAGGAGAAGGGACTGTGGCATGGTCATCCCCCCCAGAGGGTGATTTCTCACTTTCCCTCTCTGTCTCTGTCTCTCTCTGGTGTGTGTGCTCTATACAGCAAAAAATAAACAAATAAAATATTTCATATATCTTTTGATATTCCATCCAATAAATAAGACAGCCTTAAAAATTTAATTCTGTATTTTCTTTTTTTGTTTTAAGATTTTTGCCATAAGGCACGTGTACTCGCCAGAGTCCGAGAGAGATGGAAAGTGAGAAATCTCCCCACCAGGGGAGATGGCCTTGCCACGATCCCTTCTGCTTCATTCTCTGCTCAGAATTTTGGGCATGCACACTCACATCCTCGTGTATTTTTCAGGCCACAAGGTTTAGGACTCAAATTGTGGAGATGGTCATAAGGGATCCAGTGCCTTAACTGCCAGGCCACCTGCTGGCTCCAATTTTATATTTTCTTAAGTTAGTCAGGATATCAGGATTTAAGGTAAATAAGATGAGAAAAAGAAGCAGCCAGAGGTAGTATTATTATCAGTTGATGTACCTGGATGAATTTAGTCTAATAATTAAAATAAGGTAGCTTTACTTTCAAAATGAAGTATAACTTTTCTCCTTTGTAATCAATAATTATACTTAGTACCTAATACTATTACTTTGAGAACAGAGACATTAAAGTACTAAAAGTGAGTCTCCATAAAGGCCCAGAAATTATCTTTAATGCCAAGTAAAAATGGTAGAAATCCTTGTCTCTCAACTTTTGGATTCATTTTTGTTTAGTGAATGATCTAACTGAAGAAGTCTATTTGCAGAATAAATCTTTCAAAAATGCAGGTGTGAAATTTGAGACCAACAGGGTAAGTCACAATCTTCACAATGGCATCTGACAGAGTAATCACCCTAGAAATAAAAAGGAGATGCATAGGATCAGTCTGTTTAACCAGAAGATGGTTCTGCCCTGCTCACTGAAATCGCCTAGTAGTCCTCTACTGCTGATGGGAACAAGTGAAGCTAGAGGGAGCTGCAGATACTTTCTTTTTCTTTATTCTTTTTTTTTTTTTTTTAGTAAGGGTTTAAACGATAGCCTGTCATCATTAAGAAACCAGAGTTGGTGGCCAGCAGGTGGCATGGTGGTTAAGGGCACTGGACTCCCACATGGCCGACCATGGTTCAAGTCCCAGACCTAGCAGCTTCCTTTCTTACTTTCCCTCTCTCCCTCTCTAGTTCTTACTCTGTCCCTCTCTGGTCAAAACTGAAATAAATACATGAAGTTAAATAAAATATTAAAATAAAAAAAGAAATCAGAGTTGAAATGCTACAAATTAGATTATTTACTATATGTACATACATACACATAAAATGAAATGAAAATAGAGCAAAAATTAATTGTAGTTGTGTCCCAGTAACAGAATGATGAATGTTTTTCTACTTTATGAATTTTTCTGCAAGGGCAGGGAATACTTCTATGTAGGCAAAATAAAACTTTCCATTTAAAAAGAAGAGTGTGCTAGGTAATCCCTTACTATGAAAGTAACCGTCAGTTGCTCCTGTTAACTTTAGGATTTGTTTAGTCATTATAACAACAGGATGCTTAAAATCATCTTTCATACTAAATGCCAGTTTGACAATCCAATTTAATATATTTTCCAAAGATAACAATTTTAAGTATGAACAAAATAATTTCATCTGCTTTTCTGTGTTTAGAGTCTTTACAAGTTTTAAATTTTCTCTTCACAGTGCTCTTGATAAAACTGAGAGGTCCTGAAGTCTAACTGACAATCACTAAATGATTAAAAAAAAAATACTGCATTTTTTTTTGTTTCCAAAAAATATTTTAAAATAATTTTACATTGAGGTACATGTGCTTTCCAGAGACAGAGAGGGAGGAAAAGGGAGAAAATACCCCCTGTAGAGGATGGTCATACCACAATCCCTTTCTCTCCACTTCTCTCAAACCTTGGGATCTGAGGCATGTACACACGTGCCCAGTATGTTTTTCACACCACTGAGGCCGGGACCAAAACCACAGTCAACCATGTAGCATATGGCTACCTAAACCACTCAAATATGGGGCCAGCCCTAAAAATAAATATTTTTAATAGTCTAATCGTGAAAGGATTGAGAAGCCAATTTTTAGAAAGCTTAATCTGGAGAGGCAGGTCCAATAAAGCAATCAATAAGAAACTCCAAACTCTAAATTCCAGTTTGGGCATTCCCACTCATTTTCATTTAGTGAAGGACAGAATAGCAAGGTGAGAGAGCAGACACATACCAATAGTCAAAATAAGAAGACTATGGCATATAAAGTGAGGATCCACTTCTAGCCCAATCAAAAGATTAAAGCTCAACATGACTGACCACAGAAAACAAGATGAAGATTAGAAAAGAATATAAGCAAAGAAGATAGCAGAAATAGAATTCTGTAAGACTTGCAATGAATTAGAATGGTATAGTAAAGGAAAGGGATTTTTTAAAAGTACACGATAAAAAGTATCGTTTAATAAACATCACTATAAGAAAAAAGCATACAGAACATTAGCATTGGGATTTAAAATTCTAATGTTCAGGAGCAACCATAGAGGTACGTGACATGCCATAAGCTTGTTTGATCAAGGACTAGATGAAATTTGATAGAAGCATAAATTTGAATCCTCTGCTTCGTGCTGTGAAGAATTTAGAGAATGAGTCTAATAAATAGCATAGGATCCTCATTTTAGTATAATTTTATTATCCACTGTTACTAGTATAAATTTTCACATATACAGTATCTCTTATGAAGTAATTTTTTTATTTAAAGAATTATTTATTTATTCATTCATTCATTTTAATTTGACCAGAGAGAGAGAGAGGGAAAGTGAGAAAACAAGCTACCAGGTCTGGGACTTGAACTGTGGTTGGCCATGTGGGAGTGTCCAGTGCCTTTATCACCATGCCACCTGCTGGCCCCCAATTTTT